ATCATCAAAACTGCATGGTATTGGAACAAGAACAGACATACAGACCAATGGAATCGAATAGAAAATCCAGAAATAAATCCACAGATTTATGGTCAACTAATCTTTGACAAAGGAGCAAAGACTATGCATTGGAGCAAAGAAAGTTTGTTCAATAAATGGTGCTGGGAAAACTGGGTCGCTACATGCAAAAGAATGAAGCTTGACCACTACCTCACACCATACACAAAAATCAACTCAAAATGGATTAAAGAACTAGACATAAGACCTGAAACCATAAAATATATAGAAGGAAATATAGGCGAAACACTACGTGATCTGCACATCAAAGACATCTTTACAGACACATCACCCAAAGCAGTGATAGTGAAGGCAAAGATAAACAGCTGGGACTACATCAAATTAAAGAGCTTCTGCACAGCAAAAGAGACAATAACAAAAACAAAGAGAAACCCCACCAACTGGGAGAACATTTTTGCACCCAACACTAATGATAAAGGACTGATCACAAAAATCTGCAAAGAACTGATGAGACTCAGCAACAACAAAGAAAATAATCCAGTCAAAAAATGGGCAGAAGAGCTAAAAAGAAACTTCTCTGAAGAGGAAATGCAAATGGCCAACAGGCATATGAAAAAATGTTCAACATCACTTGCCATCAGGGAAATGCAAATCAAAACTACCATGAGATACCATCTTACACCAGTGAGAATGGCACATATTAAAAAAACTAGCAACAACAAATGCTGGCGAGGGTGTGGAGAAAAAGGAACTCTTCTGCACTGTTGGTGGGAGTGCAAACTGGTCCAACCACTGTGGAGAGCTGTGTGGAGATTTCTGGACCTACTAAACATAGAGCTTCCATATGATCCAGCAATTCCACTCCTAGGTATTTACCCAAAGGACACAGAAACATCAATTCCAAAGAACACCTGCACCCCTATGTTTATAGCAGCACTGTTTACAATAGCTAAGCTTTGGAAACAACCCAAATGCCCAAAAATAGATGACTGGATCAAGAAGATGTGGTACATATATACCATGGAATATTACTCAGCATTCAAAAAAGATAAACACATGCAATTTGCAGCAACATGGATGGCGCTGGAAGGGATCATGCTCAGTGAAATAAGCCAAAAGAAAAAGAAAAATACCGGATGGTCTCACTCATAGCAGGAATCTAGAAAACTTAAATAAGGGACCAGGAAAATGAATAACTATAAGAAAGTGAAAATCAAAATCAACAAAAAACTATGAACCAGAGACACTTTTAGGGGGCAGGGGCGGGAGGGGAGGGATTGGGGTCAGAATGGGGGCGCTGCAATTGTATGGGGAATATAACAATAAAATTTATAAAAAATAAAAAAAAATAAAAAAAAAATAAAAGTAAAAAAAAAAAAAAAAGAATGAATTAGATTTAGTGTGAGATAAGCACATGTTGTTCATGGTTCATGGACACATATTATTTAAATTACACACAAGCCTTTAAAGTTTCCTTCTTAAAAAATATATTAACAGGGCCTCCCAGGTGGCGCAGCGGTTGAGCCCTGGGTTGCGAAGCTGCCCGCAGCCTCTGCAGCACCGGTTCATTCCCCGGCTGCTCCCCGGCCACCGGAGGAGGGTCCCACATGGCGCGCAGACCTCTCCTGCCGCCCGCTGCTCCCCTCAGCAGTGTGCCTCGGTCCTTCTGCCTGCTCTGCTCCCCGCTCTGGCTCTGGTGAATTCTCTCACCCTCCTGCGCTTCTGACTGTACCCAGTGCATGTATAAATAAATAAATAAATCTTTAAAAAAAAAAAAAAAATATATTAACAGCAAAATCAGTCATCATTGATTTGAAATAGGACCAATTGTAAATGTTGGTCAGAGCTGGCACATATTAAGTATTATCATGTCACAAGTATAAATATATTTTATAGGGTGAATGAATGTTTAAAGTAAAGACATTCCAATAGCTCTTTTAAGCTAATAGTTTTAAAATCTTCACTAAAGGTGTAAGTAAAGCTTATATCAAGTAGAAAGATGACTTAGATTTCCCCTATTCCCTCCTGCACACCCTCTACAATAAAGAAGTGCAGAATAATTGAGCATACAAATGCCAAAACAAATGAACCAGCCAAAGGTCCAATTATAAAGGGGGGGAGACAAAATACATAAGTTAATCTAACCTGGATAAACAGCTCTTTTAAAAAGTCAACAACTGGTAGTACTTTTAATGGCAAACCAGGCAAGTGTGACTGTAAATGACAGCAAAGTTGAGAATCTGAGAAATGGTTTTGTTAGAAAAAGATCAAGAAGGTAAGATGAATCATATGGCAAAGCACTTAGGGGAAGGAAAAGAAGAGAAATTTAAATAAAATTAGTCATCACAACTTGAAAAAAGAAGTAAGATTGTAGGAAACTCTTTTAAATACCAAGAAAATATTCCTGTAGCCAAATGAATTGATGAAAATAAAAACTTAAACTTTTTGAAATGCAATGCTTTGGTAAAATGAATTAACAAGCCAAGAAGCATAAATAAACAAATAAATGTGTGCCATTTAAAAATAGCTGTTTTATGCTTTCCAATAAACTGGAAGGACAAGTAGGAAGGAGAGAAAGAACTGAAGGGAGAGGGAGGAAGGAGAGAAGAGACGAAAGTCAGGAGAGACAGAAAGAGGAAATATGAATGAATTTTAAGGCAGTACAAGTCATCAGATAATACACTGTTCATAAAATGGATCTTAAACAGATTCTGTGAAATCTCACAGTTATCTAGAAACACTTCAAAATCAACACTATTTTTCCAATTCACTTAAATGAACTTAATTGCATAAAAAAGTTAACATCTTACAGCTAGAAGTCACATTCTTGTCTAAATCTTTCTGTCTACAATACCTTACATCTTCAGGGGAAATACAAATATTAAGAGTGTGCAAAGTTTCGACACCCCTGTAATGTTCAATTGGCACATTTAGCATTTTAAATTGAAAATTATTTTTAAGTTTTTATTTTTAATTTTCCCATGCTCATTCATGTTTAGCTACTGATTGAATATATTAATTAATTTTACATGGAGGAAATCTTCTTTAAAAAATTTTAAGCACAAGAATAATCTCATTTATTTAAGCCTTTGAAGTCTAATGTATTTGGACTCTAGGAATGACTGCCTGACATTTCGTTTTGCAAGAAGTCTAAACAACCACAATAAATTTACAAATGCAGACATGCCACAGTTAAATTTCATTTCACGCTCAGTAAGCAAACATTATCAAACTATAAACACTGTCCTCCAATGTCTTTTTAACTCAGAATCTTGTAGCCAATGGATGGTCGACCTTGAAATATTTCACAGATGGATGAATAGGCTTAGTTTATTCATCAATTTCCAGACTAGCCAACTTAGGTTGTAAGTATTATTGTTTAGGTAGGTGGCTCAATGCTTTATTTAATAAACAACAAATAATTAGTGATTAGACAGAAATAATTAGAGACCCAATTAGGAATTATTCAGGGGAAAAGTCTAAATATAATGAGTTCTTTTTTCTGCATTCAATTTTCCTTAGAAATTTGGTTCTGTTTTCATTTCTTAATGGCAAATTCCTTTAAACAGTCTTATTAATTTTAATGCAAGCAGGAGAATACCTTTATTGAAGAAATCATCAGATTATACAGGATTTTGAGAACAAAATGGGCGTTGAGTGTTAGAGAGTGCATAGTAATAACTGTCAAAGTTTAACTCAAAGAATATATTCATTAACCCTATCTTAGTTGTTCATCATACAACCTTGAAATCATCTGCTTAATTAACTGTGAGTTGAAGTGCAAAGTGTCCTTTTTTCATTGCTGTATGTTGACTGTCTAAGCATATATTTTCTTCTTTATGTATCGGTTCTTTCTTCAAAGAATTTATTTATTTATTTATTTGTTAAAGATTTATTTTTATACAAGTGCTGGGGTACAGGCCAGAGGCACAGGAGGGTGAGAGGATTCACCAGAGACTGAGCGGGGAGCAGAACAGGCAGACGGACCGAAAACACTGCTGAGGGGAGCAGCGGGCGAGACAGGAGAGGTCTGCCGTGCCGTGTGGGTAGCTCTGCGGCCGGCGGGAATCGAACTGACACAGCAGAGGCCGCGGACAGCTTCACAGCACTGTGCTAAACCCACTGCACCACCAGGGAGGCCCCAAAGAATTTATTATGCTTACTACGGGACCAGCAGCGTTGAGAACTATTCATACCATAAGAAATAAAAAGTAGACAATGACCATATCTTAGTGAAGTTTATATTCTGGAGGGAGGGAATGGCAGTTTATAGAAGTAAATAAACAAAAGAGAATCTGTAAGAAGGGCTTACATTGGATATTTATATCCTTTATTTATATGTATATAGTAAGTGTTCCAAGCCAACTTTTAAGAAAATGAAGAACTACTATTTAATTTAATCTTCCACTGGAATCTTATTAACAAAAGGGAAGTCAGATGTTATTTTATAAGGCATCATAGCAGAGATCTCATGATGGAGGGGCTTATCAGAAGGGAGCATCAGAATCACTTGGGGAACATTTTTCCTACTCACAATGACTTCAACCCCCAGCTGAGGTACTCCTGCCTCCAGCAAGCTCTGATGCCCACCTCCCCCATCCTTCCAAGAGGCTAGGCTTGAGAGTTACACCATCCTAAACTTAATCTGCCAGCTAGGGCAGTGGTTCAGGTGCTTTTATAAGTTAGTAAGAGGGCCTCCCTGGTGGTGCAAGGGGTTAAGCACTGCACTATGAAGCAAATCCACAGCCTCTGCAGCGTGAGCAGGTAGCAACCCACATGGTGAAGCAGACCTGTCCTGTCTCGCCTGCTGCTCCCCTCAGCAGTGTATTTCAGTCAGTCTGCCTGTTCTGTTCCCCACTCTGTCTCTGGTGATTCCTCTCACCCCCTCACATCTCTGGCCTATACCCCAGCTCTTGTATGCATAAATAAATAAATCTTTAAAAAAAACAATTTGTCAAAAAAAAATGTTAGTAAGAGTGCTTAAACGAGATGGGTGGCATTTTTCTTTCTTATATTAAGCTCTGAGCTGGCATATGGTGGATGGGTGTTTGGAGAGAGCAGAAGGTGCTATTATATGGATAGTCTTCCAGGGATCTACATGGTTCCTTCTATATGAAACGCTGTTCTTATATTCATGAGTGTGACTTACCATCATGATGGTCAAGTTTCAACCCAAAAGAAAAGGAAAACGAATAGTAAGGTTGTCTTTAACAGCAGAACTAGTAAGTTTCACATATAACTTCTGTTTGATGCTTCTGTTATATGGCCACACTTTACTGCAATCTAGGAAGGGAAATATGGTTTCTCCAGCTGGATAATCATGCACATAGCTAAATATGGGAGTTTCTACTACTAAAGAATAAGTATCGGAGGATAATCAGTTTACCCCCCCTCACTTACTTTACTGCAGTAGTACAATTATCTGTTGTATTTAAGATCTTCTTTAGTTTTCTTTCTTCAGTAACCCTCTTTCCTCAGAAAAGGAATAGGATTTTATCCAAGAGTCTGAGAAACATCAAGTGAAACAAAATTAAGTATGTTTACGACTTCAGAACTTCTTAGAGTTTTTATGCCATTACTAAGCAGGGTGCTTCACTGAAAGGGAGCAAACTTAATTCACATTTTCTCCAAGGGCTCTCTCACTCTACAGCAGTGGTTCTTAAACCTATTTGGTCTGAAGAACTCCAGACCCCCTCTGAATGTTACTGAGGCATGCATGGGTGCATTGGTGAAGGAAACTCTATGGGGACTACACCTGAGGGGGTGGGGGGAAGGAAATATTGCTTAAAAATGAACAATGATGTAAAAAATAAAAAAAGAAATTAAAAGAAATACACATATCTGCTAGGTTAAAAAAAAGTTATTGAGAACATCGAAGGGCTTTTGTTGATATGAGTTATACCTATAAATATTTACCATATTCGAAACAACACTGAGAACTTGAGAATATAGCTATCATTGCAAAACATTTAGTAAATGAAGTTTTTAAATAACATATATTGGGCCTCCCTGGTGGCACAAGGGGTTAAGATGCAACCTATGAAGCTATCCGCAGCCACTGCAGCACGAGTTTGATCCCCAGCCAGGGAGGTGACCCATATGGCGCAGCAGACCTCTCTGGCCTCACCGGCTGCTCCCCTCGGCAGTGTACTTCGATCCATCTGCCTGTTCTGCTCCCCACTCTCTCTTGCTGGTGAATCCTCTCACCCCCCACACCTCTGGCCTGTACCCCAGCTCTTGCATGCATAAATAAATAAATCTTTAAAAAAAAAACATATATTGCTACACTGAAACTAGTCTTTATAATGTCAGTATAAGGTAGTTTCTGAGATTTATGGTGCTAAAAATGTCAAACAAGACGGACAATTTTTAATATTCACCATTAAAGTTCAACTTAATCCTAGCATTTATAGTAAAATCATAAATTATGGATTTGGTAGAGATGAATGAAATTTACTGAATTTTTACTGGACATTGTTTTTAAAATTTATGATGAGACAATGAGTACTATAAAAATGGTGCTAAAGAGTTTGCATTTCACCCAAAATATAAAATATTATGTGACTAAAGGTCAACGACAGCTATTTTTACTTGATGGATGCTATGTAATCAATTCAGAATCACCATGACATGAAAAATGGTATTTTTCCTCTCACTTTTTATTTTCTGACATAAGAAATAAAGACTATTTTTTAGATTCCATTTGTAATTTTCTAAATTAGGTTGAGAAAAGGTTAAACAAATGTCAGCCTGCAGAAATAAAAATAATATCCTTTGTCAATACAATTTTGCCAAAGTTACATTTTAGTGGTATTAACTAGGGAAACTGAGCCAAGAGTAATTTAAAATCTCTCTTAAACATATTCACTCTTCTATGTTTCAGAAATAATAAACCATAAGTCACAGGGAAAAGACAAACAGTGGATAGTCTCACCTATATGTGGAATATGGTGAAATCGAACAGGGTCAGGAAAAAGACAAAACTTGCACACTGACCATAGGTCTGAGGTATCCAGCAGAGGTGGGGACAGAATATAGGAGGGAAGAGCACAAGGGACTCTGGTGATGAATCATGGGTGCTGTGGTAGCGGGAGAATTATGGGGGCTACATCCGAAGGCAGAAATCAAATATTGTACAAAGACGAAGAACGTTAGGGAAAAAAAAAAAGGAAAACTGGCCAAAAAAATAAATAAACCATTGAGATGATCAGCAACTCCCTTTTTCTGAAATAGTGGATGGCTTCTAATGAAAAGGAGAAGGAATGAAAATAAGAGCTGGACCCCAGTCAGAATGAGGGGGGAATCTGTGTATATTGTATAAGGCAAACATGAAGGCAACACCATTTTGGGATCTAAGAGGGATTATGACCATCTCATTCTTGGCCAACCTCATTCTTCACAGGAAGAACACCTTGATTTCCACCTAAAATGCTTTCTGGTTGACATTATGCTTCCTCAGCATTCTTGTGAAAGGCTGCAAAGCTTAGTATACCATTCCATTTATAGAGTCAAAGCTAGTGATGAAGAAATGGGCTTCTTACCAAAACCAGACCGGGTTAGCAGTTCCAGCAGAGCCGGCTGACGACCTGCATGACCTTGGGCAAATGATCTAACCTCTCTAGACTTATTTCCTTAGGAGTAAAATGAGGGGATTGAATCATAAGAAAGCTTACACTTGGCAGAGCTAAAATTCAACAACCATTTGATTATATAGCTTTGTGCACAGAAACATCTTGAATATCAACATTTCCTAGGAAATTGAGAATGCTGCAAAGAATTGTTTTATTTTATTAGCTTTGTGTGCTGTCTGATGCTTGTTGGTGATGGTCCTTGAGTTGCTGCCTTTGTATTTATTTGGGGAGATTGAAACTCCTTGAGGATGGAGAACTCTAGATTTGTATTTGGTTAATTACCCAATAATGTCTAGTAAAGTGTTTTGTACATTAACATTTTCATGATAAAAATGATCGATGAATATTTAAAGCTTCTCTTGATGAAGTGTGAGTTTATAATAAAATTATACCTCCATTAAGATTCATTTTTCTCCTCCATCAGTATTTATTCCAGCATGTACAATAACAGCCACAAGTATCTATCTCAATAGCAGACAAATTAACATTCCATACTTTGACAGAAAAAATGGTAACATTTATTAGAAGCAATAGAAAAATAATACTGGGAATCACGTATTTGCTCAATAACACTGCTTCCAATACTAGGGAAACATTTCCCCGTACAAATGCTTTCTAGACCTGTGAAAGCTGCCACTAACTTTTAGAAATAATGGGGTGCTAACTCATGGGAGAGGATTTCAAGGAGAGAACACAATCTTCCCTTCCTTCCTGGCCATAACACCATAAAGACATATGGTGTTCCCTTCCTTCCTAGCCATAAACACATATCCATGTGTTTCTTAGTGCCATAGGTGAATGAAATTTATCAGTTGATGATATTTAGAAGAGAAAATGCAATTCCATTCTCAACTTTGATACAAAGAGTCTGAGATTCCCACATGTGATCAGTTCTAATTCTGCTAATAAAGCTGTCCTTTCTGGGAGAGTGCACAGAACAGGCTCCAGCTGTCAGAGGGTCCTAATGTTTCATTCTCTGTACAATCCTGACAAATTTTCAAATGGTAATACCATTAGCAATGATTTCCATGAAACCATGGTAGAGTTGGCCAAGAGTTTAAAAATGAAGGGGGGCACAATCCATAAGCACTAAGAGGTTCAAGGAGAAGGCATATTAATCACCAGTCAGAACACACACACACACGCACACACAAAAGGAAGAGTTACTGGTTGAAAAGCAAGAATTTTAAGGCATCATTATTATCAGTTTTTCTGTGACTATACACTAAGCATAAGAAGTTAAGTACAGGGCCTCCCCAGTAGCGCAGCGGTTGAGCAGTGGGCTGCGAAGCTGCCTGCAGCCTCTGCAGTGCCGGTTCGATCCCCGGCCGCCGGCGAGGGTCCCACATGGCATGACAGACCTCTCCTGCCAGGCCTGCTGCTCCCCTCAGCAGTGTATTTCATTAGTCTGCCTGTTCTGTTCCCCGCTCTGCCTCTGGTTAATTCTCTCACCCTCCCGCGTTTCTGACTATACCCAATGCTTGTATAAATAAATAAATAAATAAATCTTTAAAAAAGAAAAGAAAAGAAAAAAAAGAGGGGTGCAAAAACATCAAAAAAAAAAAAGAAGTTAAGTACAGAGTTTATTCATAATATGATGATGCATGTTCAGTAGAAAGGGCATTAGCTGCCTTTTCTCCTGGGAAAGCTGGTGGGATATAGAAATGCCTCCATCCTTATTTTCATGGGCCAGTAAATGGTAAGAGCTCAGGTTCTGGAGTCAATTTGGCTGTTATTTACCAATTAATACATTCAAAAGTTCAGGTAAGGTATTTATGTTCTTTATCACAGTTTCCTTATCTGTAAAATGGGCATAATGGTAGCCCTTACATCACCAGCTGATTCTGAGGATTATTGCTAGTAATCATACCCAGTAAATGTCAGCTTTTACAACTGTGCTGTTGTAAAAATAAAATTATGGGGATGTGCTCTTAATGACTAAAAACAAACCTTTTCCTTTTTCAGGCAACAAAAATATGTTTTAAAATGTTTTTAAAAGTATCCTGTCTCTGGAATAAAAATGTTGATTAAGAATTAAGGAATTAAATCTTCAACTAATAATTAGACATTTTATGATCCCAAAGAAGTTGTAAAAAATAGGCAGATTAAAATAAAAATTTAGCAAAACATTTCATGGTAATTTGAATCTAAGTTCTCAATTTTATTACTACTTCAAATGTAATTGGAGCTAGAGTTCAAAAATCATATAGACAAATCTCTGTCCTATATACATTAGATGAAAATAGTCACTGAAAACAAAAAAAAACAACATAATGAAGAAAAAAAAAACTTACAGTGAGAAAGGAATCATTTTCTCCAAAGTTCAACATTTGATTTTTTTTTGTTTTTGTTTTTGTTTTTTAATAGAGGCATGATTTATTTATTTATTAATTTATTTGTTTGTACAAGCACTGGGTACAGTCAGAAGCGCAGGAGGGTGAGAGAATTCACCAGAGCCAGAGCAGGGAGCAGAGCAGGCAGAAGGACAGAGGTACACTGCTGAGGGGAGCAGCGGGCGGCAGGAGAGGTCTGCGCGCCATGTGGGACCCTCCTCTGGTGGCCGGGGAGCAGCCGGGGATCGAACCGGTGCCGCAGAGGCCGCGGGCAGCTTCGCAACCCAGCGCTCAACCGCTGCGCCACCGGGGAGGCCCCAAAGTTCAACATTTGAAATGTCATTACGACACAATACATCTGAAGATGTATGACTCTATCTTCCTAAATACATAGTGTTGGTAAATGAATATTACCTTAATAAAAAGGATGTAATGAAAATAAAAGAAAATGCCATTAAATTGAATTAAAATTGGGCCGAAGGTGGAAATTTTAATGTCCTTCATTGTCAAGGAGGAATGATATTTATGAAACTTAAAAAGT